CATGTTTATTATACATTTTGGGAGACAAAAGAATTGAATTATACATCAATATTCTTATAAAATATTAGGTATTATTATGAAAATCTGGCTAATTACTACTCCCATTATTACACTTCTTTTTTCAACATGCTGTCCCAACAGCACTTTAATATGCAAATTAGATAGAGTGTATAGATAACATTGTGCTTAATGGGAAAATCAGTTTATGGAATTTTTACACACATACTGCATAAAGAAAAATGGTATATCAAATAATTTTGTTATGTATTTTATAACATAGTTGAGAACCATCCTTAAACAAAGTTAGTTATAAAAAAAATCCTGAAACCTAAAAATTGATTGGTGATTTTAAAACAAATCCCATTGTTTTTGCCTTTTCATGTCTACTCTTGTCATTTTATTTTTAGAAAAACTGAGTCCTGGTGTCCTCTACAGAGAACATAGCATAACTTATGAATAAAATATCATTTTTCAAAAATGTTATTTCACCATTTTTTTCTTATGCTCTAAACAATGTAATGACATGAAAAAATACTAAATTCACAAAGCTTTTTATTTCTGGTTCTCAGGAGGATATGAAGAGGCCATCAACAAAGAATCCTCACCTACATCACTTAAACAAGGTGTTATCACCTTGATCCCTAAACAAAGCCCTTAATTTAGAACCTCATGATATGTTACTTTGTTATCAAAACCCATCTTTTTCTGATAAACACATTTACATTATTAATCTGTTAATTATCGTAGCAAAGTTTTATATTCATATGTCAAAAGTAATTCAAAAGAAACCATCATATGTTACATTTTGTAACACTGATCTTAAAATATACTTCGAAACCCTTTCTAATATGAGACCACAAAATAAGAAGCTTATAAAACAATACAAACTCTAAAGCTTTTCAAAATGATGTAACTGCCCTAATGCATGTTTTTTTCTCTCTTTTCATTCTGTTAGTTTTATTTTATTTATATGTATATATATATGTTTGTATTAATTTTGCGTTTTTGTTGTTGCTGTTGTTCTGTTTTGCATGCTTTGAGATGTGCAATGTTTCCCTGTTTGCATTGTCCCTTTGTGTGATGGAACTGAACAAAGGGGAAAAAAGAAAAAGAGAACGATTACTTCATCGACCTGGATTTCAGGAGTATTTTAGTTTTTTTTAGCATTTAGTATTTTCGTATTTAGAATTATAATACGGATAGTTCCGGTCCTTGATTCTGATTGGTTGAGCCGCATTCGAAGCTGAGCCGTATTCGAAGCTGTTGTAAATTAATCTACAAACACACACCTTTGTTTACATTTGTGTGTTGCAACCACAACCATTTCTGAGGAACTACATTGTTTGGCGGAAGAATACTGTTTTTATTCATATCATTACACTTTATTTGCTCCATTTTATTTTGTGAAACCTTACTATGTATATGGAATAACCGTTTTTATAAAAGCAATAAGCCCCGTGAAGCCGTGGTTTACAGTGAATTTATAACAGCTAAGGGGGTTTTACAACGCCCCTTAGCCGTTATAAATTCACTGTAAACCACGGCTTCTTGGGGCTTATTGCTT